AAAACACTGTTTGGAAAGTGCTTTGTAAATTGCCCATATCAGATGTGATTGTGATGACCTCCTACAAGAGACTGCCCCTGGTATCAGTGGTTCACGTTGAGGAAAAATACTGTTAATTATCGACGGGTAATGGCAAATCTACTACAAAACAGAGTAAAGATGTATAGTTGCTTTGGAATCCCAAATCTTGAGGGTAATCATACACAACATTCTTCCTGAGACTTCCTGAGTAATACTGCATTTCACTATCCACTAATGGAAACACTATGTTCCACTAATGGAACAATTGTAAACAATAGAAAAGAGGGATAAAATTAAATGTGGGATGGTTCATGGGATCAATTCTCTGATGACTGGGTCCCCTGCCATCCTCCATTGAAGAATAAGGTTTATTTCCATCTGTATGTCCTCTAGAAACCCATCCCAGGATTTGTGTAATCCATCAGTTATTAGCTCAGAGCTGATGCAGGAACTGAGATTGTATTCACATGTACAGTTGTCTAACTGATTTGTGGTTAGTCTTCTGAAGAATTAAGTAAAAGAACAGTAGGATATTATTTATTCTCATGAAACCAAAGAAGTATTTGACTAAATGTTTTGAAGTCATGTGAAAGAAATGGAAGGAAACATGCACAGCAGAAAGAGCCCTGGAGCCAGCCTATCTCCCACTCTGGGAAATCACAGTGAGTCTTGAGTTATCATCTCTAGAAGATGGAAACAAGCACCCTTAACTGCATCACTGTGCTGGGGGGAGGCTGTGATATTGTCTGAAAAAGAACATTATGTCTTTATAGAATCCCACAAACATTAGACAAATGAACCCAGACACAGAGGCACCTGGCTTAGTTACCAAACTCCAGAGCCATGACTGAGAACGTACATAAGGGATCTGGGCGGCCACCATCTCATCATACAAGCTGGCGATCTCAGAGTCGTTCTGGTATCCATAGCGACACAGCTGGAAACCCAAAGACCAGTAAGGTACCATCACAGGCCGGCCAATCAACTAGAAAATAGACACAAAATATTAGTACTCAAAACAGAGGCACCAGATTGAAATTGTGCATCAAGTAATAAGAATATTTTTCCATGCCCCAAGCTACACAACTAACTAATTGAAATCCACATCAAAACTGACAGGATATAGAGCCACTGGGATACTTGGAGAAAGCTTTCTGCTGGCTT